TGAAGCGAGACAAAGCGGCGATCTCATCCCTTCCGCCTCCAGCAGACGCCCGGACGGCCCTCCCAGCGCCGCCAAATCCGCGGCAGGGAGTTCACAGCGCCCCGCTCATGATGCCAATACAAGGCGGTCAAACAGTCACAACAATGGAAAACTGTCGAGTGTTGCTCCTTCCCACGAGCCCGCGCAGCCGACCGTCCTCTCCAGATGGTTTCCGGTCGAGTGGACTCTGCAAACAACCATCGACTTGCACAATTAGCGGTGGGTCGATGCCTGGCGCTGGTGACTCGTGCGAAGTTCCAAGTGGCTGCCGGATCCACCGTCCGTGCTGCTAAATCTGTTCTGTCAAGGGCTCGTAGGGGATTGACACGCTGCTGCTGCTGCTGCTGCTGCGGCCGTCGTCGCTGGCGGGAGGCGGTGCGCTTTTCATGCCTCTTTCGTTTTTTTTAGCTTTCTTTCTTTCGGTCTTTTATTCTTGCTTTCTTTAATATTTCTTTTCTTTCGTTTGTTTTTTTTTCTTTCATTTTTTCTTTCGCCATTTCTTTCTTTACTTCGTTCGTCCTCTCTTTTTTTCTCTCGTTCTTTCTATCTTTATTTCTTTCATTTTTTCTCTCGTTCTTTATATCATTCTTTCTTTCTATCTACCATTCTTTCTCTCTATCTTCCTCGACCGGGCTATGAAGATATTTTCTCCCTCGCCTTCGTGTTTTTGTGGAAAGAGCGGAATGCCCGATGCTTCTCTGCGTCATTGCGATTCCGAAGTCGTTGGGCGCGGGAACTCACAACTTTTTCGAAAAAAAACTAACCATCGCGCTTAAAACACGAGCTCATTTCATACCCCCAAAAAAGACAGACTTTGTTACCGCCGTTCCAGAGCTATTAAAAAAAATAAAAAAAAAATCTCTCCTTGGCTCTCTACGGCAGGGTATTCAGATTGTTCCACGACTTGCATTAGTAGTTTGTGACGGCCAAGGCAACAGATTTAGGAGCGATAGTCGTGCGATGGCCGATGGACCAGCTGTTGGCCTGTTGTGGGCGGGGTGGGCGCGCGGGATGAGGCCAAGAGAGTGAATGGGCGTGAAGATTGTTGCTCTAGATATCTGATGCTTCTTCTTCTTCTTCTTCTTCTTCTTCTTCTTCTTCGTCTCTTGGTGGGCTGGTATTTGCGAATGAGGGCGTGGGGGGGACGGACAGGGTTGGACAGGAGGAAGGGAAGAGGAGGAGGAGGAGGAGGAGGAGGAGAAGGAGAAGAAGAGGAATCTCATGTTGCAAGATAAGCAACTTAGTCAACATCAGCGGTATCAGAAACTTACATCGCTTTCTTTTTTCGGTGCATTACGTGGCCTACCTATTTTTTTATTTATCTGTTTATTTATTATTTTTTTATCTCTATTATTATTTTTTTTGTTTGTTTGTTATTTCTAGAAAGTATTTTCTTCTAAAAACATGAATGTTTATCCGGCCGTGAAGGTTGACATGCATTCTGAAGCAGGACTCGGCGGAGAGAGAAAAAAAAGAAAAAGAAAGAAAGAAGAAGAAGAAGGAGAGGAAGAAGAAAAAGAAGGAGGAGAAGGAGAAGAAGAAGAAGAAGAAGAAGAAAATGGAGAAGGAGAAAAAGAAGAAGAAGAAAATGGAGAAGGAGAAAAAGAAGAAGAAGAAGAGGCAGTTTGTTTTCTTGCAAGTTGACCGAGTGCGTGTTTGTGCATCCATGCATACACAAAACGCACACACACACACATCCACACACACACACACATCCACACACACACACATCCACACACACACACACATCCACACACACATCCACACACACACACAAACACACACACACACACACAAACACACAAAAACACACACACACACACACACACACACACACACACACACACACACACACACACACACACACACACACACACACACACACACACACACACATCCACATATCTTCATACACACACAACAGCAACAACAACAACAACAACAAACACACATAGGCGCGGCTCGATACCCTCCCCCCGTCAGGCAGGTCCTCCGCCGTGTTGCCCTTTTAACCCGTCATCGTCATCTTTCTCTCCCTCCTCTTGTCTCCCGGGATGGGGCAGGGGGGGGGGGGCGAGGGAGGGGCATGAGGAGTATGATGGGGTATGATGGAGGAGGGGCGGAGCGGGGGGGAAGGGGGGTGTACGTGCTTGGAGATATGCATGTACAAGCAAAGGTGTAAATATGAGTAGAAACGGATGTATATTTACGTGTGTACTGTATATGCACGTACACACACACACACACACACACACACACACACACACACACACACACACACACACACACACACACACACACACACACACACACGCACACACACACACGCACACACACACTCGCACACACACACACACACGCACGCACGCACGCACACACACACATACACACACACACACGCACGCACACACACACACACACACACACACACACACACACACACACACACACACACACACACACACACACACACACACACACACACACGCACACACACACACGCACACACACACACGCACACACACACACACACGCACGCACGCACGCACACACACACATACACACACACACACGCACGCACACACACACACACACACACACACACACACACACACACACACACACACACACACACACACACACACACACACACACACACGCACACACACACACACTCCTTAGGAAAGATCCTTGACTCAAAGAATTCATAAAAACGAAAGAAAATAATAGAAAAACAAAAAGATAAATAATTTAACACAGAGTAATACAAGAAAAAAACAAAAGGGAAAAACAAAAGAGAGAAAGAATAAGCAGCGATAACAAGGCAGAACGGGACGAATAAGGAAATGAGAAGATAAGAAAATAAAGAATGTACGAAAGGAGTAGAAGATAAGACGAGATAATAGAAAAAAAGCAGGAGAAAAAAATAAATAAATAAAAACATAATACCCAGAGAACAAACAAAAAAGGGGAAATAAGAAAGACAGAAAAAAAAAACGATGACAGAAAACCAAACCAAAAATTGCGACAAAGAAAAATATATATATATACATATAATTCAGAAAAAGAAATAAAAGAAAAAGAAAAAAAGAAAAAAAAGAATTTCGAAAAAAAGAAAAAGAAGAAAAAAATAGAGGAATTAAAAAAAAAGGGAAAAAATGAATTAAGAAAAAATAAAGAAGAGAAATCATCGAAGGTTCGCCGAGACAAGACCGAGGGAGACGGCGGAGGAACCAAGGTGTGAAATGTGAAATTATCCAGGTGGGTGAGGGCGCGCTGGACCGGGGGGGGGGGAGGTGAGGGAGGGGTGGTAAGGGAGGGATAGAGTGGGATAAGGGTATGGGGGAGGGGGTGAGAAGGGGTGATGGGGGGGAAGGGAGGGGTGATAGGGAGGAGGGTAGATGAAGGGGTAATGGAGAGGGAATAGGACGGGCTAGTGATAGGAGGGGGGGGGGGGGGAGGTACGAAGGAAGGGTTGAAGGAGGAAGGGTAAAGGAGAAGATGATATGGGGGGGGGGCTAGAATAAGGTAGGAGGACGGGGGGAGGGGAAGGGAGTTAGACCAAGGGGGGAAAACGACCATTAGACCCGAACAACGACATTTGGAGAAGGGGGGGGGGAGGAGATGAAGACCCTTTGGGCAGGGTTGCTCGTACCCAGTCGAAGGGGGGTGGGGGGGAGGGGGATGTACATTTACTCTAAGGTAATTGTTTCTTAGTCTTTTACTATCGTTCTTACTCTATGTGAAGGTTACTCATGGTCTCTTAAGTTCTGAATGGTACTTAAGTGTTGTTTATGAAGTGGCTGATGGATAGTGGCTGTCTTTTTTTTTTAATTATTATTAGGATTAAGATAAAAACGTAAATTCTTTTCATGTGTTCTTTTTTTTTGCTGAAATTCTGGTATATATTCCCGGAATAAAATAAGTGTTATATTTAGTATTTTCTTTGTTATTCTTGTCGATTTACGGTCCTTTCTAATAGTATATTATATATTTTTTTCTCGTTTGTTTCTGGATCGGTTGTATTCCTCTTGAACGAGGAATATAAACCTTCCAATCTCCCTCTCCATCTTTTTTTTCAAATGATCAATTTGGATACGATAGTAGTATTATTCTCTGTCTCTCTCTCTCTCTCTGTATCTGCTTGCTTCTTTTTTTCTCTTCACCCTCTCTCTGTCACCTTCGCTCCCTCCCTCTCTTCTCATCTCCCCCTCTCTCTTCCTCTCCCCTCCTCCCTCCCTCCCTCCTCTTTCACTCCCTCCTTCCCTTCTCATCTCCCTCTCCCCCCCCCCTCTTTCACTCCCTCCCTCCCTTCTCATCTCCCCCTCTCTCTTCCTCTCCCCTCCTCCCTCCCTCCCTCCTCTCGTTATTCAATCACCCCGATCTCACCCCCTTCTCCGTCTCCCCCACAGGTGTGATATCAGCGGGCGTGTCAGTCCCAGTTCAGATTCCCAGTCAAACCCCCGACCTCAGCGCCGCCAACTACTGGCCGAGGCTGCAGTGATGGTCTCTGATGCGCGACCCAGACTTCGCTGCGTCGCACTACTCCCAAGTGTAAGGCAAAGAGATACAAAAACAAAAAAAGACACTTGGCCTAATACTCCCTCTCTCTCTCTCTACTTCCAAAGCCTTCGAAACTTCTTCTTCCGATGGGGAAAAAAGAGAAGAAGAAGAAGAAGGAGGAAAAGGATGGAGGAGGAGAGGTGAAAGTGTGAATCGATAGGATTATTATGATTTTTTTTTTCTCTTCTTGTCTCTATTTTTTTCTTTGTGATCATGCGTCTGCTACCAGTGATCTGGCGTAAGTGATAGTTCCTCCTGAACCAAAATGCGAGGAGATATAACTTGCAATCTCACGTGTTGCTCTTTGCACTGACGGCCTCGTCGGTGAGCGAACGAGAAGAACATTTATATTTTCTTGTTGTTTTGTTTTTGTACCATAATCTGCTTTGGGCAGACGATTCATAGCATATGACAGTGTCAAGTTTCACAATGTATTACTGTGTTAGTAAGGAAATTTCGTAAGAAGAAACTGTACCAACTTTTTCTCTGTTATCGCAGCCTCCCTGGAGGGATAACAACGTAAAAGTTTCTAGATCGACTTGTGCAATCTGCGCTCATACTCCTGCCAATGTTTTAACGTCTTTCCGAAGCGCAAAGTGGACACGACGGAAGAGTAGCACAGTATCCTCAGTTAGGTACAAATGTCGATACCATTTGTAACCAGATTATTATTATTATTGTATAATGCATGCTGTCATTCATCGGTAATTAAGAATCTAAAAAAAATCAAGATAAAATACTCGTAGCTTAGAATTAATCCTTAGTTACATAAGTTGCTGTTGCCTCTGACTGCGGCAACGTGCATCCCAAAGTCAGAACAATGATTTAGTCACAGAAAATGGGATGCGGTTGCGTGGTTCACGACAAGAGGAGATTCGGCGCGAAAAAAAATGTGTCGTCAGTCGTTTTCGCTTTACTCAAAAGAAAAACGGAAAGCGAAAGCGTCTGGTTGTCTGACACCTATTTATTACTGTATAAAGGTCTGTAAACAAGGTGTGTATAGTGTAGTACATTGTGTAGCATAGTTATCATCTTCATGAATATACACAACATAGCATAAAACCCACTAAACTTTGAACAGAAATGAAACCTTTCCCCCTCTTTCTCCTGCACCCGAGTTTCCGTTGCCCAATATTCTCACACAGTCGTCGTGTTGCGATATTTCCACAAGAACGTTTAAATATATATATATATTTTTTCCTTTCTTTCTTTCTTTCTTCGAGGACCTCCCTGAGTTGAGCAATTTTTTTAATCACTAGTTTCCTTGCCCGCATAATAGTCAGAACTAGAGCACCGTCCCAGTGATCGTCACAATAAAAGCTATTAACGCGTCTGTACGAGGGCCTCCGTCAAGGGTTACCCCAGCGATTGATATCACTGCACTTATGCCAAATTCAATCTGATCAGATATCAGACTTGGTTTCACCTGAATAGCACCGCATTTCACAAACTAATTTCCCATAAAATTAGCGACAAAAGACTTCATTCTGTGCGCATGGTGGGAATTTTACAGCGTATTGCCATGTTCAGCGTGCCCAGTGTAGCGGCAGTGGTGTGGTGGCGCCCTCAATGGCTGTCACTTGCAGAATAGACGAGCGGTGGAGGCGAACGTTTACGGTGAAAATGCTCGCTGATCAGGTCTTTTGCACATGCCTTAATTGATTGGTGTTATGTGAATGGGTTCAGACCTTTTTTTTTACCTTTTTTATTAAGGCGAAAAAAAGCGTAATAAAGGATTTTATGTTGAATTCAAAACGAAATCGTATTTTTTTTTCTTATTTCGTTTGGCTTTAAGAGCATTTTCCAACGGATGGAAGGTATATAATGTTCAAGTATTCCCACTGTTTAAGGTTCTCTTTCTAAATCGTGGAGGTTGGATTTTGTAAAGCACTGTGTGTATGATTTCTGCATAATATTGATTTTACGTTTTGTCCTTTGCCAACACTCTTTTTTTCCATATTGTTTAGATTCCATGCCAGTAATTTTCGTCACTTCCCAGAATCTCTTGTCTTTGTCGATATTTTTGTAAACGTATTTATCCTTACATTGTATTGTATATATCTTACCGATCATAATAAGGTCATGCTAGACAGTAGCAAAGAAGCCGATCGGCGATGAAAGCTGTGTATGCATATAATGATATATTTCCATAGTCCGATGGATAGACTAAATGGCGCCAAAGCCACGCGTTATGCCAAAGAGATGCCACTTCCCGTTTTTTTTCTTCTTTTTTTCTGCAGCCTTCATAATTTATCATAGTTATTTAATTGATATTAAAATTATATCATTGATTAGTTTGTCGGTTGATGTGGCGTTGGTAGAGTAACGAGTCACTTATTATTTTTTTCATTCTTTCTTCGAGGACATCCTGAGTGAGCAATTTTTTTAATCACTAGTTTCCTTGCCCGCATAATAGTCAGAACTAGAGCACCGTCCCAGTGATCGTCACAATAAAAGCTATTAACGCGTCTGTACGAGGGCCTCCGTCAAGGGTTACCCCAGCGATTGATATCACTGCACTTATGCCAAATTCAATCTGATCAGATATCAGACTTGGTTTCACCTGAATAGCACCGCATTTCACAAACTAATTTCCCATAAAATTAGCGACAAAAGACTTCATTCTGTGCGCATGGTGGGAATTTTACAGCGTATTGCCATGTTCAGCGTGCCCAGTGTAGCGGCAGTGGTGTGGTGGCGCCCTCAATGGCTGTCACTTGCAGAATAGACGAGCGGTGGAGGCGAACGTTTACGGTGAAAATGCTCGCTGATCAGGTCTTTTGCACATGCCTTAATTGATTGGTGTTATGTGAATGGGTTCAGACCTTTTTTTTTACCTTTTTTATTAAGGCGAAAAAAAGCGTAATAAAGGATTTTATGTTGAATTCAAAACGAAATCGTATTTTTTTTTCTTATTTCGTTTGGCTTTAAGAGCATTTTCCAACGGATGGAAGGTATATAATGTTCAAGTATTCCCACTGTTTAAGGTTCTCTTTCTAAATCGTGGAGGTTGGATTTTGTAAAGCACTGTGTGTATGATTTCTGCATAATATTGATTTTACGTTTTGTCCTTTGCCAACACTCTTTTTTTCCATATTGTTTAGATTCCATGCCAGTAATTTTCGTCACTTCCCAGAATCTCTTGTCTTTGTCGATATTTTTGTAAACGTATTTATCCTTACATTGTATTGTATATATCTTACCGATCATAATAAGGTCATGCTAGACAGTAGCAAAGAAGCCGATCGGCGATGAAAGCTGTGTATGCATATAATGATATATTTCCATAGTCCGATGGATAGACTAAATGGCGCCAAAGCCACGCGTTATGCCAAAGAGATGCCACTTCCCGTTTTTTTTCTTCTTTTTTTCTGCAGCCTTCATAATTTATCATAGTTATTTTAATTGATATTAAAATTATTATCATTATTATTATTATTGTTTTTTATTGTTATTGATACTGTTATTATTATTATTATTATTATTATTATTATTATTATTATTATTATTATTATTATTATTATTATTATTATCATCATTATTATCATTATTATTACTACTACTATTATCATTATTGTTATTGACTTTATTATTATCGTTGTTATTATAATAATAGTTACTCTTATTCATCAGTAACTAACATAAAGCAAGCGTTCGAAATTTACTGAGGGCAGCTGTATTAATTAAAAGCACGCTGTAGTCTATAGCTACATTCGCCGGCTGAAAGTTTCGGTCATTTTGCGGCTGCGTAATATTTTCACACATCGTTTATCTCGTTTTTCTTTATTCCTTTTACCCGGTCGTTGGACGTGACACATAGAAGCCTCGTGTATTTTAAAAAAGATAAATTGATTAGTTTGTCGGTTGATGTGGCGTTGGTAGAGTAACGAGTCACTTATTATTTTTTCATTCTTTCTTTCCGCGAAGACATTCGAATCCTGTTTAAACACGCTTGAACCTTATATGTGACTATGTGTGAGAGAGAGAGAAAAAAAAACAAAAAAACTAAACAAAAAAAAAAATCATGGGAAAAAGAGATTGAAACCTAATTTTAACTTGCGTGTATATTTTTATATTTACCAAGAATCTGACATGTGTAAAAAGAAACAGCACAATTTCTTCATTAACCCTTGACTTACCTCACCGTCAAAGATAGACTGCTGCACAATAGCGTACAGTGTTATGTTGGCCTAACCAACCCTTGTAAATAAGGCTAGAAGATACGACTTATATGTCATCATTTGAAGAAAAAAAAAGACAGTTACATAATTCATTCATATTTCTAAAAATCACAAAATGGTTAACCTACAGTCCTTTCAGACAGGCACCTTTTGTATATTCAATAGGAATATATTTTCCTGTTAAATTTACTTTAGGAACCTCTTACCTCCCGTCCCTCCTCCTCCTCCCCCCCTCTTCCCTCTCCCGTTTCCCTTCCCAGTCTCCCTTCAACGCCCCCCATCCCACTGCTCCCTTCAATGGCCCATCCCCTTGCCCTTTTCTCTCCCCCCCCCCTTCCACCTTCAGCGTCCCTCCCCCCTGCCAGGTCTGGGGACGGGGAGAGGGAGGGTAGGAGGGAGGAGGGCGAGGGGGGGGGGTGACCCAGCAAGACCACACACGGCTAAACAGGCTCATAACACTAACACCTTCTGACATCCAATTCTTGTGCCCTCTATCGTGAAATGTTTTAAGACTTTTGTACTTATTAATTAGATGGAACTGATTAAGAATTAAGAAGAGAGAACTTTCTTGATTTTTTTTTCTTTAGCGATGACTATCGGGAAAAAAAATTAAATATGTAAAAATATTTTTGGACGTGTATTACAGACCTGAATTAATGGGAGTGGCCATTCTTGTGTGATAGACAAAGCAGCTTCCCAATCCCATCCTGGTTTTAATCATCATTACTACCATTTATAAAACCCATTTTTATAACCATTAGAGTGCCAGTTATCATTATCCCCGTCAACCGCCAGTCATGTTGTGTGTAGTGGTTACTGTATGATATATAAAATATAATGAAACCTGGATTTAAGATATTTCATTATAACCTTCCTTTCCTCCCTGAAGATGCAAGGACCGTGACTGACAAAATGAACATCGTCAGCAAAGATTCCAAATATTGTACGATCGAAGTTAAGTCTGTGTTTATTCAAGCGTGATATTGACGCTTAGACTGATACAAATCAACGAAAAAAAGACGATTCAGAAAATGTAACAAGTTCAAAGTCAGGCAGAAAGCACTAGAAGAAAAAAAAACTGTTGCTTGACACAGGTGAATGAATAAAGCAATATTCAGAAATGGCATTGGAAGAATCCTCTTTTTTTGTTTTAAGACGAAGAGAGAAAGAGATAGAGATAAAAAAAAGGAAAAAAGAATTCAAGTCATTTGGATAAGTTGCCAATTAGTGTCAGCTGTGATCTCGTATTTGTCGCGACAAGGCAAGATGGATGCTTTTGATTATTTTTTGATCCACACCCAAAATCCCCGGAGCTGGATCCGGTCCGATGCTCCTCGAAGTCCAAAAGTGAATTAATAGGATTTGGTTAAAGAAAGAAGACATTTTCTTTTCTTTTACGGTGTTGACTGTGAAACAAAGGATTTGAAACTGGGGAAAGCGAGGTGAACCGTACAGTTCCAGATCATCTATCCGTCAAGAAAAGAGAGAAAAAGACTGAAGCTCTGATCTCTCGGCGGGACCCCTCCGAGCGATCCGAAACACAGGTGTACCCCCTTCAATCACCGCGCCGGGACAGAAAACGGGAACTAGCCAGGTAAGCGCATTTACCGGGTTAACCAAAAATTTTCCAACAACCGACGTATATCACTCAATTATATCATCTGTTTGGGATGAAAATGATAGTTATTCTGCATTCATTTTTCTTTTGTTTTTTTTATATAATTCCTGATTCTTTTTTTTAAATTCTTGATGCTTCCACTCTACCATATAATCTGAAATGTGTTTGACCAAACTTTTAAAAGAAATTTTTCCGTTTTTCCTTATATGACTATAAGAGAAATACGCAACGCATAAAGTGACATTATAATTCATTTGCATATTTCGTTATGGAGAGTGTATATCAGATTGCAAGACTGGAATTAAATAACTTAAATATGTCAGTTGTTAATCATTTGTTCTGTGTTCTTCGTGTTCTCTATTTATAATTTCTCATAATACTTGGTACCGAACATAAAAAAAAAAAAAAAATGGAGTGACATTTTGAACTGAAACGATGAACTGAACAAAATAGAAACATTATGCCATTTTTATTGTATAATGAATTTCTAAAAGAGAATAGACTTATCATTTAAACTAGATTTATCAAGGAGTGTTTTAGGTAAATGATACACCTTAGAGAAATGCATAAATAAATATATTAATGATTAATAAGTTTACATTTCCAAATTTATGCACCAAAATCATTATGGAAAGTACATATCATTAGCACAAACCATCAGTCATAATCTTGTCTTTTTCATAATAATGATAATGATAATAATAATCATAATAATGATGATGATGATAACAATAATAATAACTACTGTAATAATAATAATAATAATAATAATAATAATAATGATATAATAACTATAATAATGATGATAATAATAGTAACAATAATAATGATGATAATAATAATAACAATAACAATGATGATAATAATAAGAACAATAAAAACAGTAATAACAACAGCAATGACATTAACAATAATAACAATAGTAATTATACTGATAACAATAATAACAATTATAATAATAATAATAATAATATTAATAATAACAATAACAATAATAATAATAATAATGATAATAATAGTAATAATAATGATAATAATAGTAATAAAGGGACTGGAATGTGAAAATGAAATTAGAAAATGTATAGTTCTTTTTCATAACAGACTTATGAATAACAGGTTATTCTTCAATTTTGACATCCTGATGCACTGAACCTCCGATTATGGCTGATGATTGTGCACATTAAGTTTTTCATCTGAATCATAATGACCTATTGAAATGGACAGACACCCTGCATGAACGGAATAAACGCTTGCACATCTTCGTACTTATCGTCACGCAGTCACTTTATCACAAGGTTTGAGAATATATGCTGACCAGACTGGAGATACTGCACCACCCACTGTCTCTTGTGACCACCGGCTACAACCTCGAAGTCCAGACGTTTACGAGAGCGTCCGAGTAAACAAGGATAAAGGGGACATTTGCTGTCTATTACAAATAATACCACGCTTTCCTACGGCTGAGATCAAAGTCATATATTGCAAAAGGCACTCTAGTGTTTCATTATTGTGCAAACTGGGAAAGGAATGAAGAAAAAGGACATTTTAAAGGGAACTGTATCTCCAATTAGAACAACTACTGGAAGAAGAAGGTAAATTGGGTGACATATCTGCATAGTCAGCATAATTCAAAATCAACAACCTAAACATGTCAATTATTAAAGTTATCACAGAATAAATGTGTAATTATATTTATTTCCTTTTTTTTAAACAATAATTTCATGTTGATAAATATTCACGTGGCAAGAATTACAGCAACAGATGGTCTTTGGGATCATCACAAAAGCACTTATTTTAAACTTGATAACATTTTAAACTCTGGATGAAAAGTGAAGTCTGTGATTGTTCATAAGTGCAAGCACACTCACTCACATACAACCTGACAATCACACCACACACCTGATGAATGGGGAAGAAATGGATAACAAAGAGAGAGAAAGTGATGAAGGATCTATAAATTTTGCATTTCCTAAACTAACAACACTATTACAACGTCTCTATTCATTTCCTGAGTAAACTCACGACCAAGTTGAAACTATGGTTTCATGTTATACAAGAGCCACTGCAACTTTGTACAGAACTGGAGGACTGAATTCAAG